CTCCCCCCCCTGCCCAATCCCAACCGTTCCTCCACCCGCTGCGCCCTGCTCCAGCTTCGATCCCTCCCCGATCGTGCACATGTGCAGGTGCACCCCGACCCCAATCCCACCCCCATCCCTCCTCTTTCGATCCCGATCTCCCTCCCTCCCGTCACCTCCACCCACTTCCCGCCCGCCAATTTCAAGCACTCTTTAACTCTCATTTCAAAGTTATTTTCATCCTTCTCTTGCTCGCTATCGGTTCCACCCTGCCCCCGACTTCCGCCCCCCCAATCGTCCTTCCCCCCCTCACCCGAATTCAAATTCCTCTGCGCACACGTGCGCAAGAGCTCCCTCCTTCCCCCGCCTCCCCCCTCCTCCCATGCCCCCCTTCCCGATTGGCCCCCAGCTCCGCGCACGTGCACGCCGGGACGTTGGTGGGAGCGGCACATCTGGTAGAAGGTAACGCAGGTGTCCTTCGATGATCCCAACGAGATCAGCAATCTCGTGTGGAGCAAATGGGCMAAAGCTCATTTGATTTTGATTTCACGCACGAATACAAACTGTGAGAGCGTGGCCTATCGACCCTCAAGCGTTTCAGGACTTCAAGCTAGAGGTGTCAGGGATAACTAGCTTGTGGCAATCAAGCGTTCACAGCGACGCTGCTGGTTACCGCCATCTTCACGGGCAATCATCATCATCGCCGCATTGTCAACATGATCATTGCCACGACCTCTCACCTTCATTGCTCGCATTCGATCCAGCTACCTCGTCGTTCCACGGGGGGAATGATCGAGAAGACCCTTTAGGGGTTGATTGAAGACCTTTCTCGACTAGGAGGAAGGACCTTGATTGCTCCCGGCCGACCGGGAGCGTGGTATCGTCAATCTATCTCCCTCTTACTAATCTCCTCCCTTCCCCTCGCCGATCTTTCTCAAAGATCTCATCTTTTTCCTCTTCTTTTATCTCCTCTCCCACCCCCCTTCTCTTCTCCACCCTCACACCTAATTGGTTGCATCATCCAAAATTTCTACTACGTGTGACACGTATCTTCCCTCTTTGTGCTTGCCAGACAATGCCGTCCATTCTGCAGTTCAAAATTTCAATCTAATTCGATAGGATTAATCTTCATCTTCTTTACTCCCAACTCCGTGATGGGAATTAATTTCGGCAGTCTTGTTCAAAAGTTACGCAGATTTCTATAGTTTCTTGATTTTTTTCGTTATTTAATTCAATTTTATTTCAGAAATTTGTGAAACAAATTTTGGAATTTACTAAATTCAATTCTTTTGATGTCGAATTTCCTTCTATTTTCTATCCCCCGTAAAATTTTGAAATTCTTCTATTGTGTGAGGATCAGGGTCCTCGGTAGGCCTATGGGGCCCTGCTTACAACATTACCCGCCCTAAGTGAAGGCGGAGGTGGCCGCCCTAAGTGAAGGCGGGCCTGGCTTTTTGCAAAAGGCCCTCGATTGTCAATTTCATAGGGTCCAGGCAGTTGCGACGCGCCAGTTGGTTGAGAGAAACACAGGCCGAGCAACAAAGACATTTCCACGGCCCTCCGGGCCTTTCCAAAGAATGCAGGCCCTGGGCGTAATTCGCAGCCTCATACAAATACAGTTGGGCGCCCAACCGAACGAGGCCCAGCAGCCCAGTAGCTGCCGTACGCAAGCAGCCTCCTCGGGCCTTCCGGAAGCTTCTGGACCCAGGCCAGTGCAGCCAGGCTGCGAGAGCAGGCCAACTCTTTCCATTAAGGAAAGAGCTCGGCCCTGGCTGCCTCATTCAGGCACTCGCATGCTAACGGCGGCGCTGCTGGAGCAAAGGCTCGCGGTTGCTGGCTGGCGCTGAGAGGCGAGGTGCAGCACGTGCGGTCGTGCAGAGGAGCAGGGCGCTGCTAAGGGCAGCGCCATAGCCCAGCCACCATAGCTGGTGGGCTTGGACTACAGTGAAGCGCAGGGGTGGTCTTCGGGTGAAAGAGAGGACAGGTGTGGGTGTAGTCAGGGGATAGGTGAAGGATGATGATGATGATGATCATGTGAGGGCACTTACCTTGTATTGACAATGGTCTGCATGGGCGACATCTTCAAGTACTTCAGGCTGCCGCTGATGTCAACAGTTGCATTGTCTTTTTGTAGTCTGTAGTAGCTGTGTAGGAGTAAGCTGGGCGCTGAGCGCCAAGTGTGAGTGTGAAGGGACTGGACTCATGTGCTGTGAGGAAAGAGTATGCTCGCCATGAACATTGGTTTTCAGTGCTACGAACCTCCATTGGTGCATTATTGGTACAATGCTGCTCTCTGGACACGGTGTGACTATTTGGCTTTCAATGTGATGGTGTGATCTGGAATTGTCATCTCCCTGTTACTTATTTTCCTTGCAATTTGGTATCAGAGCTGGTTCATATTGCATTTCATTGGTTTTCCGCAATAGTTATTGGTGCTTCGCATGAGGTATGGGGCAGTGATAAAGCATTGGCGTTGAACATTAGGCGGCCCAGGGTAGAGTTGGCGCGCCAGGGAGCCATGTGGTGACATACGGGGTGTATGCTGGATGATGAGAACTCGCTGATGTGGCATATTAAGCCGATGTGGAACCGCATTCTGTTGTTGGTTGTGCTGAGGCAAAGACCCGTCATCATAATTGCACATCAGGTTACCGGTGAGAAATATGTGGTTGGGGGCAGCATTTATGAGGTACGTTGCTCTCTTCCTTATCTAGCCTCTTCATCTCTTCTTACCGTGAGGAAGTGAGTTATGTCTTGAGAGTCCTCTCGATGTGAGGTGTCGCGAGCGCTCAACCTTAAGAGTCGACATTCTTCCTGGGCAGTAAGCTGGTGGGAGACGGGCGAAGCCTCTGAAGGGCCCTGGACGAAGCACTCGGGTCACGGTCACCATTCCAACCCGCTGGGACTAGTACACGCATGCTTTGCCGCAAGTGCTTGGTTCTGCTGCTTGCGCAATAGAGGTCATGCAGGGCATGCCAACCCATTGATAGACGCTTACCAAACCGTCTTTAAACATTTCTGGCTGGGGACTCGGAATTGAATCTGGTTGTGATCGTCGTCCTGTCTGCGACGTTAAATAATTCCTTAGGAGATGGGGGCTCTCCTTAAATCCCTCCTGATCAACCAGATCAACCGGGTGTAAGGCTCGTTGCATGCGAGGATAAATAAAGTGCAGGGGCTGGCATGTTCGGCGTTGACTTGGGGCACAGGGGTGGGCCGGATTGCACACCTTCAGACACGCTGCTCAACCAGATGCTCAGGAACGTTGACACAAAGTGACCACTCAAGAAGGATACAGGGGGAGGGGGGATTCCGGTAACTGTTCGCAGACGCAATCAACAGACAATCTGCCATCAAGCATACATGTCCAATAGGAGATGTTATTTTTATTTTTGATTATCTAGTTGTTACAGACTTGACTAACAACTGACAGACAGCTAGAGACAAATTAGGTATTTGCTGTATTGCAATCTGTTCTAGGGTAATCTAAAAATAGATTTAATATATCCTTTAGGACCTGACATTAGTTGTTACTATATCACCTAACTATTTCTGTTCCAGCCGACCGAAATTAGTTGTGGTTTATAATCGGTTGTGTGTCAGGCTAAGGTAGGATTCGGTGTGGATTCTAGTTTAGATCACACACACTGTAGCTCATGAGTGATGCAAGCACTAGTGAGGAGGTCCAGGAGACGAGAAAAGATTGCGGAGAGAGGCTAGAGAGAAAGCAGCGGCAAGGAGAGCGAGGGCAACTGAGGATAGTGCCAGGACTAGAGTTTCAGCTAGCAACGGTGCAACCATGGCTACCTCATCTATGTCGCAAGTGTCTACACAGTCCACTTCGTCAGGAGTCAGTCAGAGTGGTTCTCAAGGGTCCATTAGTTAGATTGCTAGCTTGCGAGTCAGCCAGCAGACTCAACTCACGCCGAAGGATTTAGAAATCCGGCAAGTAGAAGAGTTTCAGGATGAGCTACAGTGGCAGTTGGACGAAGCAGAAGAGAGGAGAAGAAAAGCAATCCTGAGAAAAGCTAGACTAGGTAGTAGAAGAGAGGAGCTAGGCAGACTGGAAGGACTAGATGAGGCAGCATTAGACCTTGCTATTTGTGTGCTGCGTAATGCTTTACTTTCAGTGGTTGAAGCGCAGAACGTCCAGCAGGAATTGCTGGCCGGATTGGTGGCAGGCCAGAAACAATCCCTGTCTGAACTTCGGGCTCCTCGCACAGTGGTGAGGCAGCCGCAGTTTGTTGTAGTTCCCCCTGCGGGTGCGTGTCCTTCATCGATGCCGCAACACACAGGGTCAACCTTTTCTCCTATGTTTGGCATACCCCCTCCAGGTGGTTTGGTAGCAACTAGTGGTCCGGTTCACAGAGTCTCAACCATACCATCTACAACAGTAGTCACTACAGTCCCACTGTCAAGCCAGATCCAGGTTAGTGTGCAACAGGCTGTTTCAGTGGCTATGCAGCCGCTGCAGCAAGCCCCTGGGCCCATGCAACCTATGAAGTGGATGCCTAAGATACCTTTGATGAGTCCCAAGCCCTTCTCTGGATATAGGAAGAAGGAAGAGGACTTGGACACCTGGGTGAGGACTATGCCTACTTATGTGAGGCACAAGCTCACAAGTCCAAAGCAGGAAGTGTGGTGGCTGCCTCCTTTTTAGAGGGGTCAGCAGCCCACTGGTTGAATGGCTTAGTGAAGCAGCAGGGCTACGGTCAAAACTTCGATGCCTGGGCACAGGCCCAGATATTGGAAGAGTTCGTACGGTCTGTGTATAACAGGTGGCATGACCCGCAAGGGGCTTGGAAGGCCACCGATACTATCAACAACCTTTGTGCCGGTTCAAGGATGTTAGAGAGCTCACGGATACCGTAGAGCGACTACTCATGGTACCTGGTGTGCGCTTTGACCAGCAGGTTCTCCTGACGGATTACCTAAGGTGCCTACCTACAGAGGTAAGGACCAAGCTGGTTGATGAGGCCTATGTCGAATAGCTCACCTTCGCTTCTTTTAGTAAGAAAGCTCTGGATATAGAGGCAAAGATGGGATCTGCGCATAAGGCATCTCATGATGGTAGGAAGAGACTTCCCCAAGACGGGAAGAAGAGGGGTCGGTTGATGTTCGTTGACCATGATGGTCAAACGACAAAGATTGACGATTTCCCAGACCTTGGGGAGTTGACAGAGCAGGATGGGGCCAGCGAGACTTCACTTAGGGCGGGCACGAGGCTTGCTGGGGGCCTTAGCCCAGAACATGTACATCACGGCAAGGCCCCTTTGAGGGCTCAATCCTCACACCAGCATTCAAACATTTGGAATTGACAACATGCAAGGCTAGCGTAAGGTACCACTTCACTACATCAACTTGATGAAGAAGCTCGTCCTTCACCTCTCTCCTTTGCCCACCAGCCATACTGCCTGGATGCCTCCCCTTTCACATGCCCTTGATGAAAAGAGAAAAAGAGAGTTTGCTCTATTACCCATTGCTTTGAGAAGACCATCCATGCATAGCACCCCACAAAGAGCTTGCACCACGACAAACAAATAGATAGAGCATACGTGAGATTGGGGTGCAGAGTAGTCTTGGCCAGTCAGCTCAAATACATGAATGTGCCTCTATGGATGGTCTCTCTCCATCAGCTTCGTCCTCACTGCCCTCTCTCTCTGTGTCCAAGGTCTCATTCCTCCCACATTTCCTCCCACATTATCTGGACATGGCTACTCCATATGGGCCTCCAGCGCCGTTGACTACTACTATCAGCCAGAATCACAATTAGCAAAGGTCGCAATCTTTAAGCAGCACTCCAGAGTATCTCCAAGTAGCGCAGCAGCACTTCTGCATGGACTCCCAGTGAATAGGTAGTGACTGCTTTCTTAGGTGCGCTTCTGTACTCACTGATCCGCCTCCCAGGCTCCTTCTGCTGGTATGGGTTGGTTCCCTTACCTTTGTTTGATGCTTTCGGAAGCCAGAATCATGATAAGCACAGGTTGCAATATCTCTAAGCAGCACTCAAGAGTATCTCCAAGTAGTGCAGCAGCACTTCCACATTGACTCCCAGTGAATAGGTAGTGACTGCTTCCCCAAGCGGGCTTTTGTCCTTCTGTATCCGCCTTCCAGGCTCCTTCTGCTGGTTATGGGTTGGTTCCCTTGCCTTTGCTTGTTGCTTCTGAAAGTTCGAGGATTTTCCTTGGACTTGGCTGCTGGACTGGACTGACTGACACTTGGACTAATGACTTCTGCTTGACTGGGCTGACTGACACTTGGCCAAACAACTACTGCTCTCTTGGATGAACCCAGTTGTGTCTACGTGAAAACAGTGTTTTCAACCCATTACTGTTATTTACCATGGACTTCCTACAACATCCTACTTAAACCACCAGTACACGGACCCAGCCTTGCAGTCGGAAACTTGTCGCCACAAGAAAACGAGGCTGAAATGTCAAACGTTGGGCCTGCCGTTGATAAATTAGATTGGCGGTCACTATTTCGTTTCGCGGTCCCTGAATTCAAGGTGTCAGGCACGCATCTCAGAGGCCATGTACTGGTGCTTCAAAACTAACCTAGCTGGCATCTGCAAACATTATATTAGAAAAGGTAGTCTTCTTAGCATTCACGAATATTGTACACACGGCTGGGGACTCAAGACTGGCACTCAGGAGCGGGACTCGAGACTGGGACTTGGGACGGGGGCTTGGGACTGGGACCATGGCTGCAGCTCTGAAATCTTTTCATCTCTAAGCAAACTGCAGAAATCTCGAACTGCTTGCTGTGTGAGTCATTGCAGGACATAAAATTCACTGGCATGATTTCAAAGGTTGCCGAAGGCTAGGACAAGTCTTAGACTGAACCTCTGAATGAATAGTCTAATGAATCCAGAATAACGGTTGAACAAAAAGTCTTTTCACTCGGCCATGCTGCAAGTCCATGTGAGTTAAGGGTTGAGAAGCATTTGACAGCCGTTGGATAGTGCTGTCATAATCTCTTCCGGACGAAGTTCCTGGTTGAGCCTCTGCTTGTGCAACAGTGCAAGTGTAAGTGGTGGTTGGGTTATGGCTTTTCACTGCAAATCTATGTATAAGTCTTAGGAACAGGATAGAATATATTCTGTTCTTGCAGCTTCTTAGTGCTTTCCACTATTTTGCTTGCCTTGTTAACCACCGGCATAAGTGAGCAGTCCAGAGGAGGAGAGCAAAAATTTATCCCTATAGCTTGCGAAATCTGACATTGTCAACTATTACACATGTGGACATTGCTGTACATGAGGAGGAAACAAAGAGAACGGTAGAATTGCTCAGCAATTGATTGCCAGTATTAATTAGCATGCCTTGTCTGTTGCTGATTAAGTATTGTCAAGTGTGGCCCGTTTTTCTTTATGCCAGATAAGTGTAAAGGTTGTCCTGCTCAACTTCATGATCACGCAAGATGGTTTGGAGGATCAGATTCTTGGAATGGTTGTTGCCAAGGAAAGGCCAGACCTTGAGGAGGAGAAGACACAGCTAGTGATCCTGAGTTCTCTCAATAAGCGCCAGCTCAAGCAGATTGAGGACAAGATCATCGAGGTGAGCCTCCTCTGCACAAATTGTCTCCCTGACACTGAATATGTTTTTTGAAAGTAGTTAATCACCCCTGAAATTACGCGCTACAGCTAACAGCAATCTCCAGAAGAATTTATATGCTTTATCCCATGTAACATAACCAAAGGTATCATAGGCCTTCGGTGCCCAAGGGGTGACCATGCCAGGAAATAAACGTACCACGGAGGGCACTTGACATAATCATCCCCATGTCTGTTCTTCTCAAACGTCCCTTCCATTTCTTCTTCTTCGCCATCTATCGTCTTTGCGACATGTGTGCAATAGGGAAGTAAGGAAGGAAGAGTGCAGGAGATGATTCAAAGACAGAGACTCCACTGGCAGCAGAATGAGAATGAAGAGCAGAAAGGGGAGGAAGGAAAAGGGAAGAAAGGAAGAGAAGCGGCTGAGGGAGAAAAAGAGAAATGGCCTGGAATCAAAGAAAGCATGCACGCCCCAAGCAGGCTAGCTCAGTTGGTTGAGCATGTAAGTGGAATTCAGGAGGTTGTGGGTTCGATTAACACGCCGTCCATTCTGTCCCCCGCGCCACCCTGTGGTACGCTTCGGGTTCACCAGCAGAGATAATTGGCTTGGGCCTCATGGCTAGTTGTGGAAGTTGTTGCAGGCTTTCCAGCCCCTGCCAGGCGTTAGGAGCCTGGGTGCTGCTTCCTGTACAGAGCAGAGTAGGGAAGAAGGTCCATATTTTACCATTTCTCCAAAATTTTCTGGTGATGGCACGACGCGCCGCTTCAATTCCTTGATATGATATGTGACCTGTTTCACAACTTTTAAGACCATATTTTCCAAAACAAAGTTGTGCCGCCGTGTGGGAGCCTATGCTTCTTCCTTTCTGATATTTACGAAATTTTGTACGTTATACGCAAAAAAGACAAAAGAAAAAGCTGCCCCCCATATGAGGAGAAGTACAGCCTCTTTATAAGGAAAAAAGAGAGAAAGAAAGAAAGCATGCACGCGAGCTTCACAAAAATGTTGGGAGAAGTAAGAAAAAGAGGCCAGGCCAGCACTTCTTTAACCGGGCCCCAGAGATCCATAAGACAAACGGATTGTCGCCCTAGACAAGGAGAAAGTAGCGCAGTGCTTAGCACACCACAGTTAGAGGAAGCCCTGACTCGGGCTACAACAGGAGAAAAAGATCCTAGTGGAAACCAACTTACCAAGGGAGTAGCCACTAAGATAGTCGTGCAGATTGTTATGATTCTGGCTCTCGTGCAGTGCAACAACTCACAGAAACGCAGTGCCATTCAACTGCAACTGAAATGAAAGAACTTGGAAATTGTAATGCCCTAACCAAAGACGGACTGAGACACACAGCTCATTTCTGAGTTTTGCTCATGGAATGAATGCCTTGCTGAGTTTCCCACTTGTTACTGTAATGAACCCAGACTGGAAGATACTCATCAGACGTCGAAGCACAAGTAGACTCAGATCTGCAAGGTATCTCCAGTTAACGTGAAGTGATATCTGAAACAACATCTCGTTACCAAAGATGAAGAGAGTGGAGGGGGAATAGACAGAGGAGAAGGTGGAAGAGATAATCAATGAACACACAAGAGTAGCCGCAATCGTTTCCCACTCCTTCTCTGGGCTTCCCCTCGCCTCCACGTCAACAACCAATATACAGTAACAAGTCTGATAAGTCCTGATCACACAGAAGTGCCACGTGGCACTCTTATCTCATGGAGACCATGAAGACAACAGCAGTATACGGTAACAGCGTCAACCTCAGGTGAGTACCAGATCCCAATCATCCACAGATCCCGATCTCCCTCTTTGTCGCAACCAGTCACCTCATGTAGACAGTGTGGCCAATGCCACGTCATCTATAGAGACAGGTGGCATGTGCCACATCATTAATGAAGACAGGTGGCAGCGCCCCATCAGCAATGTAGACAAGTGGCATGCGCCACAACAGGAATGTAGACAAGTGGCATGCACCACATCAGCAATGTACACAAGTGGCAGCGCCACATCAGCAATGCCTGGCGCACAGTAGAGAAAGCGCCAGCATCCTGCCACAGTCCCTCCTCGTCGTCCACAGTGCCAGCGTCAAGCCAGCGTCCAGCGAGCGTCGAGCCAGCGCTCTGCTAGCGTCCAGCCAGCGTCAAGGCAGCATAGCAAGACTGAATGCTGACCACCTCGAGACCAAGCCTTATGTAGTATTTGACGAGGCTGTCTGGGCTCGGTCCCCTTCCCACAGTCGTACAGATTGACTCACAGTCGAGAGCCTGGATTGTGTACAGTTGCAGACTTCCCCTTGGTTCTGATATGGTTTGGGTACCTGCATACAAACAAGTGTGTGCGTCTGACCGTCGGTCTGGGCTGGGTACACTTTGACTTTGACTGTTGGGTGTCCAACAGTTGACTTTAGTCAACCGTCACTCGTCCGGGCCCTGAATTCTTTACGTGGGGTTCTTTTCCCCCTTCGGGCTGGGTCTGAGTGCGGTCTGGCAAGGCCCTCAGACATTCCACGAGGCATACTGCTTGGGTTATTGCATTCGTGTCGGCCCAAGTTTTGAGTTCCATCGCAGAAAAGACGTTAATTTGTTTTTAACCCACGTTCGGATGCAGCAACAATATCAGGAGCAGTAGGTAAAAGTTCTTTCTTACTAGACCATCTGGCTTCAGACGGAGGTTGAGACTTGAACTGTACCTTATACTGCTTTTGTGGTCTTCCTCTACCACATGTAGAAAAATAGCCATTGTGACGGACCCGGCAGGATGGTGGTCCGTCAACATCGAGACGAAGGGTTGAGGGGGACGAGATCGAGATGGAGCTGGAAGGGACAACGCATGCAGCGGGCCTTCATCTGCCCTGGCCTACAGCCAGGGCCTATTTGGCTATTTGCCAGTTCGGCCTGTGGGACCAGGCCGTGGCCTGACCCCACAGGCCGTATATTGTTTCAGTCCAGTCCAGTCCCGCCCGGTACCACGGTCGGTACCAGGCCAGTCCAGTCCAGTCCAGTCAGTCCGCTGGGGGTATACCCCAGCTGCAGTCTGTTTTTTCGTCATTCTTCACTTTGGCAGATCTTGGAGTACTTGCGTGTGGAGTCTGCGTCGGAGCTGCGCTGTCCCCTCCAGCTCCATCTCTACCTCCTTCTTCGTCTCCATCCTAACGGACCGGCATCCCGGCGGGTCCGGCACAACGCAGCTCCGACGCGGACTCAACACGCACCTACTTCAAAAGTGCAGAATGAAGAATGATCCAAAATACAGACTGTAGCTGGGGTATACCCCCAGCGGACTGACTGGACTGGACTGGACAAGCCTGGTACCGACAGTGGTACCGGGCAGGGCTGGACTGGACTGAAACAGTACACGGCCTATCCCACAGGCCGAATTGGCAAATGGCCCAGCCAGGGCAAATAGAGGCCCGTTGCACGATCCTCAGACCTGTAATGGATCTCGAGAGTCATAAACATGCTATCCACAAAAGCAGTAGAACGCTGTAATGAAGAAAGCTGAGAAATGTAGGATGCGGAGCAAGCTCCATGCGGAGTCCATGCGATGCAGCCTAAGCTACATAATGTCAAATGAAAGCAAATGCCTGGTATACACATCCTAACTAACAACAGCAAAGGAAATGTAGCATGATACAATCCTAAGGTCTTGGAGGCAATGACCTCAGTGCTGAAAGGAAAAAGAGCAATATGTCACAAGGTAATGTGATGTCGCGGAACCACTAAGAGTGGGATGGTTTCAGAGGGGGTGAATGCAGGCTAAAAATCGAAACTCCTAAGGGCAGTCACACATGAAGGTGGGATAGGTCATCAGGCTCAAGGTGAGGGAATGGTAGCGAAACAAAACCAATGACCCTAACAGATAGACCATCAGGGCGGGTAATGCTCGACAAAAGGGTGACACCATGCAGGGTCGACCATGAAAAGGGGTGCTTGGAATAAGGTGGAAATATGCCTAACTGAGGGCATGCAAGAGCCGACACTAGGGTGATGAGGGCAATGGGTGAG